CGTTGCACTGCTGGTTCATTGGGTTTCAAGATAGACAGGGTTGCAAGTTGTAAATTGCAAACTGATCACTGATAACTGATAACTGATAATTTCTGATTCAATTCATCATGATCCGGTCCCTATCCAGCCTATCCTGACGTGTACTGGCAGTGACACTGGAACTGATTGTGTTGTTTTGTTCTGATTTTGAACCAAAAATCATAAATTAAACGTTGTCCAAACAAATATAAGGTTCCATGGAGGTCTCTGGAAATCATTTTCGAGGAGAAAATTGCAAAAAAATCTGAGCCCTTCGCGAAGGGCTCGGATTTTGATCAGTTTTTGGTCTGACATAAAGGTTAGAGAGCACCCAGAGACCTCCATGAAAGCCTTATGCGGGTCACACCAAACCCTTTTTGCAATTTTCTCCTCGGAAATGATTTCCAGAGACCTCCATGAAACTTTATACAAACAAATCCAACTGTATACTTCCATATACCGTGCCAACTATGCCGACTAGCCTAGCCAACCACCAAACATTATCGACCCCCAAACACAATGTCTTGCCTGACACATCCTGTCATAAATTTTCTTCTGCTCGTCCAAATAAAGCAAACAGACAGCGGATCTCGCCTAGGCAGTGCAGTGGTGGACTGTGAGTCTCGCTCTGTAAATACCAAGATTTTGATTTCGATTTAATTTCATGAGTCATACTGAGTCATACTAGAAGCACTGAAATTTCTTAGCTACGATGATACGATAATGTTCTACTATAGACTATAGTCTATATTTACATTTATTTATTTATTCATATATATGATAGGTGAAATGTTGATGGTCATGAACCATGATATTCTGAAATCAGACTGCTGATGCCGCTCAAACCGTTACCCACATATGAAGTGAATGCAGCATACTCACATAAGTCACCTTCGAGATAGTTCCGGCTGCACATCCAAGCCAATACGCGGTGCTACTCAAAGAAAACCTCAACTAGGTGAGAGGGATGAGTCATGAGTCATGTCACCTCATGTCAGTCTTGTCACGAGCTTACAGACTTTAGAAGGTTTCTCAAACATGGAAAATATGAAAATCTTCAAGATTTCTGACCATGAAGCCCCAGCTACATTACTGGAGATCTGCGCTTCAACTGCGGGAGCCTGGGCCCTTTGTTCCCCCACTTCAGCATCCGCTCAACAGACCTTCCCAGCCTTAGTGGTGGAGGTCATTCGCATGCTCACATGTTCACACAAGACTCTTGACATACTTTACTTAACTTACATACAGTTACATAATCACAAATTACAATTACATTACAGAAAAATTGACAGAATCCAGAAGTTAATTGCACACGGTCACACTGCGTACACAGTACAGAACATACAGAATGAAAGTGGAAGCGCATGGAAGCACAAATCAAAAACCGACGTCCCATGTCCAAACTCATGTAACCCAAGGACCCAAGGTCCAAGTCACAGAACCCACACGTTTCCTGTTGCCATGCCCCCGCAAATCCAGAAATAAGGGCCGGGCGCCACTTTAAGTATTGAAGCGCTGGTCCAAGATCTCCATTGTCCTGTATGTTTTGGGTGATGCTGCCAAACCAGGAACTTCCCCCACTATTTCCGAAACATACCTTGCCCCTTCAAGAAGCTGTAATTATATAGACATAGTCTGAAATAGTTTTTAAATATAGATATAGTTTGATATTGATATATATATATATGATATAAATATAAGTATATCTTATTTATTACAATAATATATAATTATATAATTATATATAATATATAATTTAATTATATTATATTTATATTTTAATATAATCTATATATATTAAATAAGTTATATATTAAATAATTTATAAATTATATAACTTATATATTATATAATTTATATATTATATAATTTATATATTATATAATTTATATATTATAGAATTTATATATTATAGAATTTATATATTATATAATTTATATATGATATAATCTATATTATATATATTATTATTATATAATATAATTATAATTTACAAATACCTACCAGTCTACCAGTAAATTATACCACCATGACATGCCGTGCCAAACTTCTGCAAAACAGTCCTTTACCTTTGATTTTTGTCGAACTTCGCAGACAGCCATCCTCACCCAGTTCCATTCGATCTGCCCTTGTCAGAGCATGGTCTTGGTTGTAAACTTCAATGAGCTTCCTGGCGAACGGCATGCACGCATCGAGACATGGACATGGACCATGGACATGCAGTCTTGTTAAGGAGCAGGTCTAGCGTAGCCACTGGTCTGTGTCTGTGTCTATGTCTATGTCATTTTATGTCAAAAATCACTAAAATTGTGGGTCAAATGATATCAAATCGATAACTCACCACTCGCCACAATCAAAAATCATAAATCAAGTTATAGTTATAGTCATAGTCATAGTCGTAAATAATTATACAAAAAATAGTCTCTATAGTCTAAAGTCTATAGTTTATAATTTATCAATTTGTAATAGTACTAATACTATCATTGACTATCATCATTATAGGCTATACTATACCCTGCCCCCCTGCCTTGCTTTCTTGCTTTGCTTCCCCTTTCCCACTCCGTCATGTTTCCTCTTCCTGCCTTCAGCACGAGAGATGAAAGGGGCAGCTGGCAATGGAAAATGTTCCTCTGAATTCAAGTTACGATCCGATATCAAATTACCTACCAGACTATATTTATTATTCACGATTCACACATATTAAAATTCATGATTGATGTTGATTCTGGTTTTGATATACTTAACTTATATATACTTATACTGATGATATACTAATACTGTGGTATACGGTATACTGTTAAGTTGTACTGTGTACTGTCTGCCTGTATCTGTATGACGGACTACAGCAGTATCTGTAAGATTGTATGAGCTGTGCAGTATGTAGCAGATGTTGCAGATGTTGTAGTAGTATGTAGTATGGAGTCATGTAGTAGTATGATGTGTAACCTCATATCACATCATTATCATATCAGAATCATAATATTATCATATTTTCATTCACAGTTTCAGTGACTCAATTTCAGACTCAATGATTCATAAACAATCGGCCTGCGCGTGCCAAAGCCATGCGCGACACAAGGCTATGAGTGTGTCTGTCTCTTTGTGCTGTCCTAACCGCTCTGTGCAGCCCGCGTGCCATGGCACGGGCCACAGGTGCCTCCATTCTTCCGTCTGCTGACTGACAGTTGTGCAAAAAAAACATTGTTGTTCGTAAGCTGGCTGTTGTACAGTAAGTTGTAAGTTGCTTGCAAGTTGCAAGTTGCCTGAATGAGTCATGAACCTGATTTTTTTAAAATCTGAATATGAAGTAACCAATTGCATTGCTGCATGGCTGCATCATATCTTCCTAGGGTTTTGGCTTAGCTACTTATCACTTATCAGGGATTTAGTTTTTTCAACTCCCTCCTCCTTGCCAAAAGCCTAAAGCAAAAATATTTCGTTTCTGACTCACTGTCGCGAACGTGACCGGGATCTGGACAGACGGACAGGGTCTGGCTCCAGGTCCGCCTCCCTAAAAAACTTGTGATTGTCAGACAAAATCACACCGGTTTCGTCCACGAGTCTCACTTTGTCCTGATCAAGCATGCACTGTGCGTGCCACCTGACCAAGCTACCAGTCACTGCTCTGCCAACAGGGATTTGAATGGGAGCCTCTACCAGGACACCGTTCAGCTGACGGCAAGTGACGGAAGCCCCTGAGACTCGTGCAATCAAAACCAAAGCACCTACTTCAGACCCTGTCATGAGTCACTGTCCTTGATCAAAAAAAGAGCGAAGCAGGGCCAAGCAAAGCAATGGTGGCAAATGCCAACATGGTCCATGGGTCAATATTGTTACAGCTGCACAAAAAAATCATAAATAAAAAGGGAAAGACAGACTGACTGACTGACAGAAAAGAATACAAAATGCAAAAAAAGAATACAGGACCGGTACCCTAGACCCACAACAAAGCCCAAGCCCTCTACAACACTCGTGCCCAATACCCCTACCCAACACCCGCACCCAATGTTCCATCTGTGACGAGCACCTGCGATCAACACAAAGACACCTACCCAGCACCCGTACGCAACACCAGTATCCACACCCAAGGTCACCCAAGCATATAACCAACACCTGTACCCAACACACATAACCTCATCCAACAACTGTACCTAACACCGGTACCCATACCAACAACCGTACCCAACAACAGCACCCAACACCCGTACCCAATACCCGTACCCAACAACAGTACCCAACACCTGTACCCGTACCCATACCCGTACCCAACAACCGTACCCGTACCCAACACCCGTACCCAACAACCCTACCCGTGCCCAACAACCGTACCCAACAACCGTACCCAACAACCGTACCCAACAACCGTACCCGTACCCAACACCCGCACCCAACAACCGTACCCGTACCCAACACCCGCACCCAACAACCGTACCCGTACCCAACACCCGCACCCAACAACCGTACCCGTACCCAACACCCGCACCCAACACCCGCACCCGCACCCGTACCTATAGACATGACCCCCCGTACCCTACGTAAGAGACCCAATAGAGAAGCATGGTTTCATTGCTTTTAAAAATTGATAAATTATACCACCTATAAAAATGGTGATGATTGGGGGATGGTTTAGTATTGTTTTACCCAACATTACTGGAAAAAGATGTGTTGTTTTTTTTCACACAACCAGGTTATATCCACTATGTTCCCATCTCTTATCCAGCTTTCTACTTAGAATAAGTGCTCCTGGAAAAGATGGATGGTCGAATCATGTCGAATCACTCTTCCGTACCCGAAATGGTAAACTAACATAACGAACTGGAAAGATCCACCATTTTTGATGGGAAAACTCACTATTTCAATGGCCATGGCTTCAATAGCAACACGTAACAAATTACCAGAGGGTAACATCCTTAGGATCAGGATCCATTAGCCCTTGGTTCCCATGATGCGAAAACAGCGATCCTCAGCCCTGGCAACACCTCAGGGTATGTCCTTTGCATCCGGAGACAAGCCGACCTCACCGGAGGAGCATCGCCAGTCATCATAGCTGGGTTCCATATATGTTGTGATACCCCAATAGCTGGGTGGTTTTTTTACCTGGAAAATCCGAGAATAAAGTGGATGATTTATGATGATTTAGGGATACCCTGACTTCAGGAAACCTCCATTTACCCATTGGCTCTGAAAAAACCTCTCTACTTCGCAATCAACCTGTGGGAAAAAGATGGAAAACCGACATCAACTGCTAACTGCGAAAGGGGAGAACAAAATAAGGCTTCAAGACCCACGTTGATGCAGGTTTTACTGTCCAAGAAAAAACATGAGAAGGGTTTTGGAGTTTTTGGAAGAATCCACCCAAGGTGGTTTTCTTTTCAGCCACAGATCTGCAACCCCTTTGTCTTGTGATGGCCTGAAGCTGGCGTAGAAAACAACACCAGTTTCAGCCTGAACGTTCGCCACAGCATTACTAGATATAATTACATGCTACATCATAATCCAAAAAAAAGTAAATTACTACTAGATGTTAGAATCAGATTTTACGAAAATTCGATCTTTTTTTGAAGTTGCCATACATTCATATATAACTATATATACATATGCATGAAATCAAAAAAAAAGTAGAATCCTTTTCATAAACATGCGTAAACTATATGAAAAAAAACATCTTTTTGGTTGCGACCACCATTTCTTCCCGTTCAACGCGATTGAGCGACAACCGGCGCATCCATGGATGGACCCGCGGGGAGAGTAGAGCCACCATGACCTGGTCGTCTTCGTTGAAAGGGCGTGTCTGGGGTATACCATGATATATGATATCATAACCCAATGATAATAACTTGCTTCTGTAAATCATGTAGGGTAATTCATGGTAAATACCAATGCTTGGGACATATATAGAACCCAACTTACCATGATAAATCCAATAATTACCATCTGGTTATGACTAACATAGCCATGGAAAGATCCACCATTTGTAAGTTCGGTAAACCCAGGTAAACCATCTATTTCTATGGGCCATCTATACCATGGCTATGTTAAATAACCAGAGGGTATACATAAAATATTACAAAATCTGAGATATACCATGATATATGATATACCATAATTCTGATGGGGTATACCGGTATACCATAAAATATTACAAAATGGCGAATTTCACATGGCAAGCGATGATAAATCACTAATCAGACTAATCACCATAGCCTCTGGTAATTGAACATATGGAAAATCACCATGTTTTTGTAGGTACAGCATCTATAAATGGGCCATGTTCCACTGCTATGCTAAATTACCAGACGGCAGAAAAAATATCATGTCGAGAAATAGGGATAGGAACCCAACATGATTGAATTTATATCCTAGAGGTATCAACACACACACATACATATATATATATATATCATATATATATATATATGTGTGTATGTAGGTATATATATATATATATGTGTATTATATATATATGTATTATATATATATACATATTCACGGGTTGGTGGTTTCTGGCCACCAGGACACCCTGGATAATTTTGTGAAAATAGGCAGACGGGCCAGCCGAGTATCCGATCAGTGTTAGGACTTGAAGCACAACTGGAATATATTGGGATATGATATTAAACCATAGATAGATAGATAGATAGATAGATAGATAGACAGATAGATATATATATATATATTGGATATATTGGAATATATTTGAACTAAATATGAATATTCACATATATGCATACACGTTTGTTCATTCTCTTCAAACCCAAACATTTCCAGCCGCTTTTCCCAACTTGAGACATCCCCATGACACGTAAAAACGTCCCGGCAATCTCGGCGCTCCGCGCTTGGCACGTGACTTGAAAGGCCGTTTCCAAGGTTTCAAAGGGCCGCTTGAAGCGGCGCTGAGGCCTCGTTCTCCTATGGAAAATCACCATCTTTAATAGGTAAATCATCTATTTCTATGGGCCATTTTCAATAGCTATGTTAAATTACCAAAAGGTAAATCAGTAGTTTCTATTCATCTAAGGTCTTCCCCAAAGATCATGATCCAAACATGGATCCAGCTTTGGGAGCAGTGCCAAGTGGTTAACAAAACCACACAGCTTGATGCTCAAATCAGCCCCCGACTTTTGGTCTCTGCGAACGGCCTGCCAGCTCGGCGTACAAAGCCAATCCGACGTCCGAAAGTGGTGGATGAAGTCACCAGATATGGCCCAAAAAAAATATGGGAAATGAGGTTTTAAACCACCAGAAGGGGTGTTCCCTACGTGTTCAAACAAACCTTTGCAACTGGGGACAGCCTCCAGGTCGCATGAAAGACGGTGCTGGCGAAGTAGCCTCACGATTCTGCTGATGGGGGAAGTCCCCCAAGATTGGGTGGAAAAAATCCTTGGCAAATGCTGAAAATGCTTGTTGGTTCAGAAAACCATAGTGAATATCACCAGCTAAAACTCAGTCATTTAACCATAGTGAAACTAAGTCATTTAACCATAGTGAAACTAAGTCATCACTGCTTCGATATATGTCAAGCTAAGTCATTTAACCATAGTGAATATCGCTAATTTTCACTGACATGTCATTTTTTACTAACCAGCCAAAAAATGGTCAATATAACTTACTTAACATGTCAATTAATGTCAATACCAGAAATTTGAGTGACATCGGGTCGTCACCGAAAAACCGAAAAAGAACGTCCTCCCCCCGCCTTTGTGCTTCCTCCCCCCACGCATCATCCGCGTCCACCGAGATATTCTCAGGCGTGTGGAATCCGCTCTCGTCCTGGATACCAACTCATAGGGATAACTTCCAAGCATTAACAATAGCAATAGTAAATGTGGCAAAAATGGCTACACTAATGAATGATTGGTATTGTTAATGCTTATGGGTAATAATGGGATACTAACGGATACTAACAATACTAATTAACTAATGATAATGTGATGTGGTTAAAACAATGTCATGCTCCATCCCGCAGTCATCACCATTTTTATAGGTGGTATGGTTACCATTCCCAGTCATGGATGGTTTATTATTGCGTTAACAACATTAATGGTAATGGAATGATAATGTAATGATAATGTAATGATAATGTAATGATAATGTAATGATAATGTAATGATACTGTAATGATAATGTAATCATTATCAATAACCAATAAATGATCATCAATAATCATTGGTAATAGAATGATCATCAATAATCACTAACACCTAATAGTTATCGATAGTTTCAAGTTAAATTCAGGATCATCAAAATTCCTTGGTAATGTAATCACCAACTATAGATGATTTTCCCAGCTATGGACCTCCATTTATAGGGAATTGTCCATTGCCATGTTTAATTACCGGAGGGTAGATCTTCCCTCTCGCATGAAAGATCATGTCGAAAAACTACGATTCCTGTTTCTGCTTATTGCTATTGCAAAATTTCTAAATCTATCGATCTTATTAAAATCGTGTTCTTTCTGCAGACGCCCGTGCATTTGTCGCAAAGATGCATATTAGCATATATATATATAGCACATCATCGAACAAGTTTATACTCGGATTATTTAACATAGCTATGGAAAATGGCCCATAGATAAAGAAATGAGTTTTAATGATTTACCTATTCAACATGGTGATGTTCTATAGCTAACTGTTCAATAACCAGAGGTATGTCCGCCATGCTGTGCTCAAAAGGCATATGAAGCTGAGAAATGCAGGAGTAATTCCACCTTATGTCCAGGTGGTGCCCCAGTTTCGTTTGCCAAGGTCACTCGGATTTATGCATGTTCATGATACTCCACGAATAAACTTCCTCTCTGAAAATAGTGTAATTATCCCATACCATCCACTGGTTAATCGTATAATCAAAACAAATATGTAGTTGTACTGCAATCTATATATATATATATATATGGTTATAATGTGTATATTATTATATTGTATTATATATATATGTGTGTGTTTATTTAAATGGCAGAAAAGACGTGGTGGTTATATCCCACAATCCCATCATAAAGTCCGATACGCACTGCTTCTGTGCGAGTTGTTGGAAATTCCAGGTTAGGTACATGTTTTTTGTCCCTTCCCAGATCGTTTCTGGTATGTTCTAACAAAAATCTGTCACTAACAACACTTGCTTAGGACATCTCAGAAATCTGTACCTCGCCCCCACTGGTGATGTGGAGGTCACACCTCAAAGTCGGCGATTGGAACTGCCATGGCGCAGCACTGGCCCAAAAGAACTGGTCGCTGGGAATGCAGTTGCACCCTTTCAAAAAGGTACGCGGGACCGCAACAAAAGATCAAATAAGTACTGTATACTGTAATACTAAATAATATTGTTATCTTGTTTTATTAGCATATAGTAATGGAGCAATAGCAACATTGCTATATATATATATATATACATGTGATATATATATATAATATATATATATATATACTGTAATACTACAGTATTGCCATGATTACCTATTGTTGCTATTGCTACATTACTTTCAAAGGTCCACAACCTGAAAAACTGGAGGACTGTGACGGCCCTGGGCCTGTTCCTGGAGCCAAAATCATGGCAGAATGGATGAAAATGCAAAGCCCAAAATTCGTGCCGCTTATCTACAACATATATACATACATACGTATACAATATACAATATACAATATACATATATACATATATACATATATCATAGTGTATATATATAACTATCTACAAATTTATCTATATTCATTATGTCTACACATAATACCGTATGTGTGTGTACATATGGTACAATACATCTACAACATATTTATATATATAAATACAAAATACTTTGTTGTTTACATATGTGTTTATGTCATACATCATCATTATTTGAGACTTGCAACAGACTGTGACTGAAGCACGGAGATTTGAAACCAACAGAGGGAGATTGTTTTTCAAACTAACGGGAACATTACCGCAACAACAACATAGCGTTGAAGTGGAGATAGAAAGCTTGAACATTATCTTATATATATATAGTAACATCGTTAACATGATATTGACATATATCGACTGAGTACGTCAAGAAACTGGATGGCTAAATGCCAACGATTCTGAAGCACAGCAAATAACGTTTGCCACCTCGAGCCTGCTTGGGTATCCAAATCAATTGGCAATATAGTCAGCTACTCGAAAAATTGGAAAACTATGCTTCGAAATTGGCATGTGTATTTTTTGGGGGGGTCAATATAGAACATGAAGGAACATGATCCCTATTTCAGACAAACCCAAAAAGCTGAGTCATGCCACACGGGCACCCTCAGTGTCCAGCATAGGCACGGTGCACGATTTTTTTGCGCAGTCACCCGAATGGCGTGCGGCTTAAATCAATTGGAACATGTACCCGTAGTGGGCGCATGTTGTGAAACATTGAGCTGGTTGATGGTTTCAACCCCTCTGAAAAATATGAAAGTAAGTTGGGATGATTCTTCCCAATATATGGAAAAATACAATTCATGTTCCAACCCACCAACCAGTTGAGCCTTGGGAAGTGGGAACTGCTTTTTGCCAATGCCAAATGCCAATTTGATCGTAGATTCTGAGGCTGACCCCATGTGTGGAATATAGATTCAAGGGTAAAGATGGATTTTGCATATACATATAAGTATATACTTATCATATTTAAGGACAAATTGTTTTTTTGCAAATCATCAGAAGTACAGTATCGAAGTAACATCCAAACATAGACCTTCTGCCCCCGAGGAATGTAATAATCTTGATAAACGGCAGAGTTTTCCATTTGACAAAATCTACGATTTTGATCCCGACCATCACCGCCCACGATTACTGAGTTGATGATTTTGGACCAACAAGAGACTGCGATCCCTGAAATCTGGAACTGACACCTCAAATGCCATTCAAAAGCCGCAATAATCACAAAATCACCTGAAACATGCATGGTGTAGAAATCTGTAGAAATCTGTGGAAATCTGTGGAAATCTGTAGAAATCTGTAGAAATCCTGGGACTTCTTCGTTTTTTCCCGCTTTTTGTGGTGCTCAGGTCTTCCGCCGCCGCTTGCCGTAGAAGCGTGAAAGGGCTGCACCAACACCTCGCTCGTGACGCTTTTCATTGTCAGTGTTGGTTGCCCCCTAGATGGCTACTGATTTCACAGGGAAAATGATGCTCTAATATTATGTTTGGGGAATTGTTATATTAAGGCAGTATTATGGAATTTTTGTGGACTTATTTTTGGGAAATTATAATAACTTTTCGTAACTATTGATGATGATACAACTCATATGAATCTGGGGAATTTACAATATCTAATGATGATATAAGTAACATCATCTAAGAATAATCTGGGAAAATTATACGAACTATTGATTTTTGATGAATATGAATCTGGGGAAATCATTGTCCAAGTCCAAAACCACGCCGTTCGGCCTGAAAGGCCATCGGGGGGGTTGATTTGTCCCCGTTATCCCAACCATCATCGATGGGGCCGCTTCTTTATACACCCAGATTGATTGTCATTTTTTTACGGTACCCCATTTTCAGGCAAAGCCATATCAAACACTCCTGGGGATATTGACCAGAAATAAATTGGGACCTGATATGGGGATATCATGGCGATATGATAGGGCCATGGTGACACCATAGTGATACCATGATGACAATGGGAACGGTGGAAAATCTACGAGGAGTTTCTACCATCGACAAGTTCTTCTTTCCCCCATTTCTTGGATGAACTTCTGGGTGAACTTCTGGGTGAACTTCTGGGTGCTTTTCAGTACCGCTATCCAAAGGGTCTTTGAACAGTGGGTAGGAACAAAAAACTATCTCTGTGCACAATATAATGCTGTATGAGGTGCGCATCTCAAGATTTATCAGATAATACGTGACTGTATACAGACATTGCATTGCATTATATTCTGGTGAATTGTGTTGCATTTGGTTTCTTTGCTCTGCGGCATATACATTTCACAACCTAGTGACCTAGTATATCATGCCAACATGGTTGTGAAATTGATACATGCAAACGCCATGACGTTCGGCTGTGCTCATCACCAAACGGCTCAGGAGGTTTATGGGACATGTGCAAGGTGCTTCCCGTCTGTTGGTTTGGTTATAAGCTTCATGTCAAGCCTCAAGAAAACGGCGAAAAGATGCGAAAGTCATAAAAGTGGACACTGTTTGCTGATTGTTTGAGGTGCAACAGAGTTTTTCTGGTTGGTGGTATACCTACCCCTCTGAAAAATCATGGAGTTCGTCAGTGATGATGACATTCCCAAAACTAATGGAAAGTCATAATCCATTCATGTTCCAGTCACCATCAACCAGTTTTAGGTCGTCAAGTTCCTAGTCGAAACCGTACCAACTCAGCAGCCACAACCCCAGGATCTAAGGCTTTCGCCCGGAGGTGCTGGTTGCCGCTCGAGACGAGTGCCCTGGGCTTCAAGACCAAGCCATGACTTGGTGGTTTTGCACAACAGGAAAGGGATTTGAAATGACTTCAAAAACACAAAATAGTCCTGGTTGGTGGTTTTAACCCTGAAAAATATGAAAGTCAGATTGGATCATCATCCCAACTATTGGGGAAAATAAAAAATGTTTGAAACCACTAACCAGTGGGTTGTTAGATGAACTCCATCTGCTATTGAACAACGAAAGAAAGGTTGGGTTTTTACTGCAACGAACCTCATATGCCAGCCATGTTCTGTACAAATCTTGGATTGTCTTGGTTTGACCCCAGTTGAATGAGGATAGGCAGTTTTGGCGATTGCAGAGACCCATTCTTGATTTTGTTTGGGACTTTAAAAACCGCCAGAATTCTACAACCAGGGATGCGTCCTCTGTGGGCCTTGGCATTTGTCGTTCAAAGGTTCGTATCATCCACATCTTTTCTCACAGCCTTATATTCACTCTTGGTTGCATCTATCTTGAAATCCCCGACATGTGAGTGTTTCCTCAAATGACATTTGGATTCATTGGGGGAAAAGGCATCCAACCGATGGCTTCCCATTTTCATTGCTGGCTGCACCTCTCCGGCAGCTTCGCCTCAAAGGTCGGCAAACATTGCGTTTCGGAACATCACCATGTTGAAAAAAACGGTCAATCAGCGATTTCTTTTTTGGCCATATAAAAATAGCTCTGTTAAGGCCCATTGGAGCTTTGACTTTCGCGACTTTCGGCGATGAAGATTCCAAAAATATTCCCAGTGATTTGGTGAACCACAGGGCAGCCAGGCCATGCCAGGCCATTCTCAGCTATCCCATGGGGCACCCAGTGAAAAACCATTGGTCAGTCATCCCCAGAAAGATAGCTATATTTTGGGTCCCAACCCCCATTTTTTTAGACGGATAACAACATACTTCGGGTGCTATTCAGCAAGGTTCACCCAACCACCAACCCACCAATTCTGGGGTCCAACCAGCTGCATCTTCGTCTTCATCGTCATCATCTTCGTCGTCATCGTCGTCATCATCTTCACCACCGCCCTGGATCGTCACCAGATTGGGACGAGCCGTAAGTGGGGTATGGGCTTGCAAATGGCTGATTGGTCCATTTTTTTTTGCTAAAACCGTCTCTGTTTGGGGAATTGCAATGTTGAGATGCCCAAAATGGTTCTGTAACCTATGTATGTAAATATGGTTGTTTGGATGATTTTAGATGTATATACTGTAAATATATACTTCGGACAAGCAACAAAAAACGCTTGTCAAATTTGGATGATCCCCTGAATATCTAGACGTTTACCCAAATTGCATAGTTGTTAGTTGTTCAGTTTCTGGACAAATCCAGATATCATGTCGATGCCTATATATATATATACATATATATATATATATCTATCTATCTATCTATTATACTATATATACATATATTTATATACTATGTGTATACTATGTATATATATTATATATATATGTATACCAGTAGTACCGCACAAGGCGGTGGCGGAAGTTTCAAAAATAGGAAACCTATAGGAGAGATTGGCTGCTGTGAATCAGGGATGGCAGAGCGAATCCACTGATGGACCGAAAGGTGCTTGAGGTCTCCTCTCTTTCTCTCTCTTTCTCTGACTATCTACTTACCTACCAGCCTATCTTCTATGTATCCATCTATCTATCGATCTATCTATCTCTCTCTTTCTCTCTTTCATCTCATTACCTATCTACCTATCTACCTATCTACCTATCTACCTATCTACCTATCTACCTATCTACCTATCTACCTATCTACCTATGTACCTATCTACCTATGTACCTATCTACCTACCTATCTATCTATCTATCTACCTATCTATCTATCTATCTCTCTCTCTCTCTCTCTTTCATCTGTCTATCTGTCTAGCTGTCTACCTGTCTGTCTATCTATCTGTCTATCTGTCTACCTGTCTATCTGTGGTGCAGTGTCATTCAGTGTAATGTAGTGTAGTGTAGTGTAATTTCGTGTAGTGGAGTGTAGTGGAGTGTATTGTAGTGGAGAGTAGTGTAGTGTAATTTCGTGTAGTGGAGTGTAGTGGAGTGTAGTTGTGTAGTCGTAGTTGTAGTTGTAGTTGTAGTGTAGTGGAGTGTAGTGTAATGTAGTGAAGTGTAGTGGAAGGTAATGCAGTGTAGTGTAATGTAGTGTAGTGGAGTGTAGTGTAATGTAGTGTAGTGTAGTGTAATTTAGTGTAGTGGATTGTAGTGGAGTGTAGTTGTGTAGTTGTGTAGTTGTAGTTGTAGTGTTGTGTAATGTAGTGTAGTGTAGTGGAGCGTAGTGTAGTGGAATGTAGTGTAGTGTAATGTAGTGTAGTGTAGTGAAGCGAAGCAACATCTGAACCTCCAAAAGTTGTCCGAACCCCTTGGTGTTTTTAACATTTTGACTTCAAAATGTGCTTCGCGCCACAACGGCGTGCACTTTTTCAACATCTGGACTTCCAAAAGTGGTCCGAACCCCTAGTGTTTTGTACATTTTGACTTCGAAATGTGCTTCCCGCCACAACGGCGTGCACTTTTTCGACATCTCAACTTCCAAAAGTGGTCCGACGCTGAGGTGTTTTGTACCTTTTCACTTGGAAATGTGCTTCGCGCCACAACGGCGTGCACTTTTTCGACATCTCAACTTCCAAAAGTGGTCCGACCATGGTGTGTTTTGTACATTTTGACTTGAAAATGTGCTTCGCGCCACAACGGCGTACACTTTTTCGACATCTCAACTTCCAAAAGTGGTCCGACCATGGTGTGCTTTGTACATTTTGACTTGAAAATGTGCTTCGCGCCACAACGGCGTGCACTTTTTCAACATTGCAACTTCCAAAAGTGGTCCGACAATGGTGTGTTTTTTACATTTTGACTTGGAAATGTGCTTCGCGCCACAACGGCGTGCAATTTTTCATCTCTCATCTGGCCAGCTGGCTCCGCACCCGCCGCTTTAGCGAGCCTACTTTCCGACCCTCCGGAGCCACAAATCATTGGAAAAACACAGTGTTTCGCGACTTTCCTACCTTTTCGCGCATCTGTATCTTCTGTCCTCTTACTCTTTCTCTTCTACTCTTCTCTCTTCTAATCTTTCTCTTCTCTCTGCCTCTGCCCTACTCTGCTTTTCATCTGTCCATATTGTCGGAAGTTTGACTTCTAAACTTCCTTCGGCTAATTATATATATATATATACATTCCATTCTATGCAACTACATCCCACTACATGCATGATATTTTCATTACATCCCCATAAGATCCCCGCGATATCACCAACAATATCCAGATTTTTGTTGGTTTATACTCGTATTCTCCATTTGTTGTATGTGGTTAATATGTTTTTTCTATACTGGATAAATTATCCCCAGAGTATCACTTAAATATATTTCCAGTATATCACCACTATACCCTCGCCCAAAAAATGCAAAAAATATAATCTGGCTAAATTACATCCGGCTAAATCTGGTGATAATTCATTGACATTTTTGAATTCATCCCTTGGATTTTCCATGACGTCCCCATGAGTACCCTCTGGTAATGACTAACATAGCGAACTGGAAAATAACCATCTTTAAGTTCGGTAAATCAACTATTTCTATGGGCAATTGTCTATAGTTTTTTGTATGTTTTCCAGAGGGTATCCCATTAATGTCAAAGGAATAATATCCACTAACATCCCACTACCATGGTTATTGAATCCTTCGTCAGTATCCTTCATCATGATATACTAGAATATCGACTCAACGGGTCACTCATGATTCATTCAGAATACTCCATTGCATTCCCATTAACATTATATCGTATCCCAGTAATGTTTGCCCTCTTGTAATTTAACGTAGCTATGTAAAATCACCCTTTGTTAAGAGGTAAATCATCATGCTTCTCATCTATTGCGATGTTCCATAGCTATGTTGGTCGTAACCAGAGGGTGTAGATCATAATTTTCCCATGAAATTTCCATTGCATCCCATTGTTGTATCACTATTCTTGAAATTTTGCTGGTCATTGGTTGTTAATGGAACACAAAATATTCTTAAAATAATATCATAGGATGGCAATTCCTATTTAGCTGGTATCATTAATAAATATTTAGATGCTAATTCCATGGTAATAGTTAGATGCTAATCCTAAAATTGATATAACATGAGTATCTCATTTGTATCCACCAGGATAATCAGTATCACAATTAATATCCCATTAGTACAACATCAGTATCCCTTTTGTATCCACCATTCATTTAAGTTAGAGTTTTTTCTGGGTATCACCATTAATGATCACCTTTATTCATCACCACTAAGTATCCACTAATAAAAAACGGATACTATCGACACTATACTTGGGATCCATCAACACTATTCCATTGGTATCCTCTAATGTTCATGGAATATTGGTATTAAGTTTGGATACCATACTATTGGATGCCATACTATTCCATAGTATATAATGTTAATGGTATCCTCCAAGACCAATAATGTCAACCCTAGATAATTGGGAAGGTACCATTTAAGTATTAGATGACATGACTATTGGAGGAGTACCCCCCTAATTTTCATAAACCATGGTTTAGCAAAATCCGGGGTTGACATTAAGGGCCATAACTGAATCATCCAGAATTATCCATTAGTATCCATAAGTATCCCACTATCCCAGTAATTAATGTCCCATTACTATTGTTAAATGGACCATTGACATCCCATTTATAGTACTATCCCATACAATTCTAGCATCCCATTTAACGATGTATATATACATATATATATATCCCATTGATAGTCCCGTTCATATCTGCAATAGTCCCTTTTTCGACCATACAGGTGTTACTACTGTTACTACAGGTGTATATAACGTATATAATGTTAATGGTATCCTCCAATACCATTAGCAATTATACGTAACCTAATATCATTATCCCCCAAGTTGTTCCCAAACTCTCCGGCGAATCGCCTGCGCCAGGCGATCCTTGGTCTTTTGCCTGAGACGAAGTGCCGTGCCCAGTCGTTTCTCAGTTTAAAACATGGAAAAAAAAAACATGAATTTCACAAGCAGAAATAGTAATTTAATATGAGTTAATCCACATGCCAGATTGGAAATGGGGATTTAACTTTGAAAATGGTACAAAAACAAGATAGGACATAGCTTACTTCGAGGTACCCACAATTCCACGGGATAGAGAAAATGATGCTCAACCATGAGTCGTTGAGTGCCGTATGTTCGCTCAAAACATGTAAAGTCATGCAACGTCAGTGTATATGAAGCTACAAAGGCAGCCCAGTGTTGTCTGATATCTCCCTTTTGTCTCTGCCCTAAAAGGTTGTACTGTACCGACTACAAGTTGGCTCAAAGCCAGTGAACTGAGCCAAGGCACGAAGTGTTGATAACTCACACGTGATGAAGTACATGTTGCGTTTGAACACGTGCAGAATCCCATCCCCCATTCATATGAAACACCTCCATTCTATGGTCCTAAAGATGTGACTTCATGCCCTAGCTTGTTGCCATGTTGACTATGGCTACGGGGTGTGTACTATGAACGAGGGATGGCATTATTACGATTCATCATCCATTTATTATCCGTTATTCATCCACTATTCATGGGATGAGAACTATCATTATACATTCTTTCTATTATTAATCATCATTAGTATCATCATTGGTATCAGCCCTATTATTACTAATGTCACTATTATTAAGCATTACTATCTACTTGGAAGCACCTCTGCAAGACAAAGAGCTTTGGGAAACACATCGCCGGTTGGCCCTGCATCCTGGAGGAAAGTGTCTCGAAAGGCACAGGCACATTTCTCAAGTCACTTACCATCCAGTAATCAAACGTGGCTGACTGGAAAAATCAATGAAAATCCCCTAATTATAAATGAAGGTTTCAATGGGAAAATCATCTATGACTGATGACGTTTGAGTAACCCATTGTATGGTCAGAAAGAGATTGTTGTCTCCAAATTGGCAACAATTTCTCCATTTGGAGGTTTAAGACCACATTTTCCCCACTATTTTGATTGCACGATTTTCTGGCTATACCCGCCATTTTGACGCAAACCTAGACCTTAGGTCTTCAGTTAGCCGGGGCTCCCCAAATAGATACAGTATATATTCATGATTCCAATTACGAAACGTACCCCCAAACAATTCATGACCACATCTCCGTGCATCTCCATGGTTGCTCCTCCATACACGAACCCCATTTTTCAAGCTGGGGAAATGTTCAATGGTCGATTAATCCCCAGTGAATTTGTCCATTTCCCTGTTACTATTGGTCAATTTTCCCCATGCCGAGGCTGCGGGTCACCTCTGTTCGGCCCCTTTCTTCAGCGCTTTCCGCTTCATGCGATTTCCCACCTGGAAAATTCCCTTATCGGAGGGGCTCAAAATGAAGAGATTCAATACGAAACCATGGCTTTGTCTGGGGATTTTTTCATATGTCATATTGGGAAAGGATCATGAAAATGATGATTTACCGTGGCTTTGGGGACCATGAAATGATGATTTACCGTGGCTTTGGGGACCCAATTTGGAGAAATGCACACCGCTTCAAATAGAACAGCATCCGGCTTTGGAATTCACCCTGGTGGTTGGAAGTCTGTGGTGATCCCCTCACATGATCGCTAAAGGCTGCAGTTGATGACTCTGCTGATACACACCCGGCCAGGATCAGTGGCTATATCGCTGCTTCTACTTTAAAAATCCTCATCCCCACCAAATCGGGATTTGCCTATCCTTTTTTGCTAATTACAGTATTCACCCCTCTTATTTTATGCTTCAAAGAATGGATTCCCATGTTACTCGGCCAATGAGTCCATCCCCTCATTTCGTGAGTCCACTCATCCAATGACGTCCATCTCTCTGCACCTTGTTCTTTCCCCGCATCTTCTTAGTAGCCTTCTTAGCCTCCAAGCATCAGCGCCCAGTTGTTTCATACCCGGCAATCCTCTCACCTTGGGATGTTGATATCCACAGAAACGTGGCATGTCAGAATGGATCTTGAGTCGAGGCCTGCAAGTCGTGTCTTGTTAATGGCATCCCTAGCACCCTTGAATTGACAGCCTTTGGTTTTTTCAAATCATAGATTCATCATCCATGTATTGTCCATTCATATCCATTGTTTCTTCATGAAATATCCATTTTTGTTGGTTATGGCCCCATCAATTACTCATTGAACCAAGTAGCTGGGCCTTCTGGTCGATCAATTGTGATGATGACCCAGCGGCCCAGCGGGGTGTATCTGAAAACAAGGTATACGCTAATGTATGGCCATGTTGGCAGGTAAAATAACATAAACTGAGTAAATGGAGGTGTGTATGGCATTGGGTTTACCTAATTGAAAAAATATGTTTGAAATTGCCTCCTCCGCTTCCTTCTCCTCTTCCTCCTTCTTTTTCTGGTTGTAGGCCTCAGCAACGCAGCGAAGTTCCGAAGCGGGGTCACTGTCTAACAGTTTTCTGCCAGAAAGGAGGACCTCCCAAATGTTATATAGATATGTATATATATATACATATATATATATATGTCATGTGTGATAATATATTTATATGTTAGAACATATAACAATATGTGTTTATACACAGTAACATGACATACATAAATTCAATAATTCATTTATGGTATATTATAATCATACTAATAGTAATGGTTATCGTTATATGATATAATGAAAATATAATAATATCAATAAGAATAAAAAGGATAATGATAGTAGAAATGATAAACTATGTGTATAAATATTTGTAGCATCAGCCACTCCTCCTACCGACTCCCAGATGAATAAGAGTATATCTGAGTATATATGTATATATGTATATATGTATATATGTATATATGTATATATGTATATATGTATATATGTATATGTGTATTTATGTATATGCGTATATATGTATATATGTATATATGTATAGATGTATATATGTAAATATGTATATATGTATATATGTATGTATGTGTGTTTAATATTTTCTGACAGTGAGGTAAGAAGGAGATGTCTTTTTGAATCCGGATCAAATGGGATATAACCCACTCGCAGGACATTTATAAGCTGTCAAACTGGAATCCATTGTTGGTGATATGTTCTGTGTGTCTGATGGTTCATATCATCAGATTTTATCTGATGAATCCCCCATTTTTTTGTTTTTTTATACCTCTTATTCCTGTTGAAAAATCTGTGGTTAATCAACGTTATCAGATCAATTGTCAGGGTCATCCCAATAAGAATCCAGGCTCGTGCAATAGCCAATCAGTTAATTAGCAGGGCAATGTTACTGTAGCTATCTTTGATTTATATTTCAAATTTCATGAGAAAAAAACGAGTCAAGCAAAAACAATTGCCCACAAGAGCCTATCCTGTAACTTTTTGTTGGTTACATCAGAAGCTTAGTTAAAGTCCCTACCTGCCAGGCCGTATATGTCATATATGTCAGAATATTCTTGGATGCGCATCCCAATTGGTAAGTGGTGTATAAGCCATATGTGTATATATATATATAAATGGGCCATTAGAACTGCCACCGGTTTTTCTCACACGAAATAACGTTTGTTGCTGGGAGATGCCTCGATCCGCACCTTGGCCACTTCGTGGTTGATCTCGCCGATGCGATCGGGATCCAACCTGGGATCGGATGCGATGGCCGGTAGATGTATGGCCTATAGGGCCTCTATATATATATATATATAGTGTGTATATATATATATGTATAATGTGTGTATATATATATATATATGTATAATGTGTATCCGCCGACCCCTGCCTAGCCTTGGCCTAGGCGGCGCCTGGGATCACCGTAGGTGTGCGAAATGGGCTGTGGCTCCACCTGTGCCAGCTTTGGCCGCCAACTTCAGCTGCAGGCGCCCAAGTAGGGCTGCAATGGGTCCCGCAAAGCTGTTTCTATCGGCTTTCGAAACTGCTATGTGGCACGTTTTAGGCACCCTTTAAAAGCTTCAAAAGCTCCAAACCCGCTGCAGCTTTCGAAGGCTACGAAAACCAAGGCTGTGGCCTGCCTCTGCAAGCACCTCATGGCACGTCCTCTGCACCTTTCGAAGGCAGCCCCGGCCGAAGTATGCTGCCAAACACTGTTCAGCTGCAGTGGTGCCCAAGTAGGGCCGCAATATTTCCAATGATATTTCCCAGCCAATTTTTTTCTTAGGCTATCTGGGGATGATTCCTGCTACCAACAATCATCTATGGGTGAGGTTGAATTCGGGTGGCTTTAGTTTACAATGTGCCCAGAATCCATTCCAAGTTCTTGTAAACCACGGATAAGATGATGATAAACCTCTGGATAGTGGGATCCCCATTTTCACGGAACTCAACCCCATTTGTGACTGGACAAATTAAGTGATGTTGCATTTATTCAGAAAAGGCTACGGTTCCTGAGTGACCTAAGGAAATGCAGTGCACACCATAGACCCTACAATTTACAAAGGAAGGTCAAAGCCAGGCCACACCTAGCTTTCTGTCGCAGATTACCCTAAAATGGGGATCGGCGGCACCAGGGCGGTAGCCCATTTATCTTATGCATATATTACGTCTATCTTGTGTTTCTAGTATGTTTCTGAATATATTATGTGTATATTATGTATACATTTTGTACATATTATGTAAATAATGTATTTATATATATAATATTTTGTATATACACACATGTAGATGTATGGGGTTATCCTGGAGTAGGTTGAATATCCTTCCTTGTTCGAATTTGTGGCTTTTCGGTGACAGAGCTGACCACGCGCCCCAGAATCTTCCACTATTTTCATTGTTGTTGCTGTATGGAGCAGCCCGGGCAGCCCCATCTTGCAAAGGCTCCACTAACTTGCAAGATTTTGGGCTCCGCCACTGAACGCCGAAATATCTCCAAATATAAGTAAGGATTTGAGGATCTTCGTTGCTGATATCCACTTTCTTGTTGCTTCTCTCAATCCTTCCAGTTGTTGGTCATCTCCCCATGAAGCCCATTCCATCCTAATCGTTGGTACATGGGTACCCCAATTGTGGTTCAAAAAAGTTCGAGTATAAGAATCCACCATTGGGACCCATGAGTGAACAAACAATGATGATTGTCACTGACCATAAAACAAAAGTTCACCTTAAAGCTGTCGTGACCCCTAGAAAAATCCCCTTAGTAAAACCACCTCAACCAAACAACGAACGTATTTTGTTCATGGCTCCGGTCCTGGGGGGTAAAAGGATCACTTCAGAACACCATGAAAACCATCACTATAGACACAGCCATGTTTCATCACTTCAGAACACCATGTCAGCCATCACGTCAGAACACCCCAAAAACAGAGTACCATGGCTACTCACAGGCGCAACACTTTGGGACGTTACGCGTTCACAGCGGTGTGTGTACCAAAACAAGGCACCATTTAGGGATCGTTTCCTTACATAATGCTTTCAACTATAATGGCTCTTACTAGTCTTGCCTTGGGAGTCCTTATGCTCAACTAGCATTTTCGGTTTATTTGGGGGGAGCAGGGGGTGTGATGTTGATGAAGTTGATGTTGATGACGGTGAAAAAGTTGCTGGGGGTGATGTTGATGATGCACGTGATGTTGATGAAGAGTAAACTGATGATGTACAGGATGTCCGTGGTGTAGGTATGATATGGATGATGTAGATGATGAAAAGGATACAGAAGAGATGTACCAGATGCAGTGCTGTATATATAGATGAAGTTGATGTGGATCATCTAGCTGGCTGAGGATCATCTTCCGCGTTCTAAAGCAGTGGTTTTCTGTGGTTCCCAACATGATGGAATCGGGCTGCAGTTTGTCCAGCAACGACTGCACCTGTCAACCATCAGGCTAGGGAAATCAGAACGCCAACACCAACCCCCAAAGAGGTGGAACAGTACAATCCTACTAAAGTAAATAGTAAATAGTGATAAATTTGATAAGTGTCTTTTTCTGCACTAACTTTTTGGTATTTACTATACCTTGAAAACCCGAGCTTGAAGATGATTGCAGTAGCACATATCGCATGCCTTTGGGCTGCCGGTCGACGGAGAGTGGACCCTCAAAATCGGAGACTCACGAGCTGCCTCTGGCCTGATATCAATTAGGTACCCTCTGGTAATCCAAACTCTAGTCTGACGTGGCAACACGAATCCCGAATCCCCCATTTATAAATAAATAAATAAATATATATATATATATATTTTTAGATATATATATATATAATATATATATATAGTGTGTATATATGTTGAACAGAAAGTGTCACCGAAGCACACAAGTGCGACACTTTTGTCTCTGGCGGATGAACGTTGCCTTTAGCAAATCAGGACGTGCATGTGCTAACATGGCATCTACTTTACTCTGGACCTTGGGGATGGTCAAATCCCACCCCTGCAGAAGATCAAAGGCTAAACCGGTCTTCCCTACTTTCTCAGCTTGTTCAGAAAATCTTGGAGGTGAAAACAGTTCAGCTACTATGCATTTGGTATCACCCTTGAGATTTTCCCCCCATGCCTCGGAGTTTGCCATGAGACATCGGTTCTCCTTCTGGGACACCCGCTTGCACTCAGTGAACTCTGCCATTGGAGGAGGAGCGACCGTCGCATCACCGCTCTTCCCCGCGAAGTTCATGACGTCAATGACAAACTGTCCTGCAGAGTTGGTCACCAGACTTTGAGGAAGACCGCCTTGAATGCTGAGGGTCTCCTCGGCAAAGTCCATGACGGCCTTCAAACTGCGCATAGTGTTGCGGCTGAGTAACAAGGGAGCATCACCCTTGATTACTGCTGCTTCGATTGTACCGGATCGTCCATGGATGCCCACTGGAAGAACTGCGACCTTGTCAGAAACTTCTTCCTGCCCATTTCCAAAGCGAAACAGGGTCGATTCCTTCTTGAGGATCGGGCAGGGTTGGCCAGGCCCAAGGGCCCTAATATTTGGGATTGAAAATGCCACGGAACATGACCCACGTCATTGCTATGTTACACTTCTCGATTTGTGCAAGTGACCAATGGGTGCTGCTGGACTGGAGTCACATGGCAATTCAATACGCCCTCCATGGGGCACGAGTGTGCTGTACATACACAGCTTTTTCACTTCAATTGGCGAGTGAGAAGGTGGCGTCATTCGCCGGAGCTTGTGATTCCCAGCAAATGGCTTCGAGATACATGACAAATCAACGGCCAGTGTGATCTTGCCCTTAGGCTTTCCAGTTCTATTCGTGCCATGGGTCTTGACAAGCCACGACAAATAGCGACGCATGTCACCACTGGTCTTGGAGGCTTCAACCATCTCGATATAGCACAAATTCTGATCTTTCACTTTTTCCATGACGCAGACAACACGGCCCCATTTGGTAATGGACATCTTTTCTGGCAAGGAAACCCTTGGATTGATCTGTTGAAAGGCTCGGACATGCACCTTGCCACTCATTGGCTCGGCACTTCCACCAGGATACGGCCTTGAAGGTGGTGCGACAATACTTTCGTGACAGTCGCACTTGGTGTTGCTTCTCCCGGGCTTCGCGCAAAGTGCGCCGGCCCTGCTGTACCAATGCGAGTGCTTGGTCAATTTCATTCTTGAGGTTCTCGATGGTGACCATGGCCTAGGAACCATCATAGGCATCATCATCATCATCATCATCACCATCATCATCATCACCATCATCATCATCATCAACATCATCATCATCACCATCATCATCACCATCATCATCATCATCAACAACAACATCATCATCTTCGGCCCAGAGAGCATTTGAGCGTGAAACTTGGTCGCGCTTCCGGATGTCCTCATTTGACCATTGCACTCGAAGTTCTTGAGCAACCCGTTCGAAGGAAAATTTCCCCTTCAGAGCCGCCAGCACCATATTGCGCTCTCTACAAAGGTATCGCTTATGGTAAGCGATACTCTGCTCCCACATTGTGGCCATCTCCTCGTGCTCCTGGAACAGCGAGGAGTCCCCATCCCATATAGGAACCCCATCCTTTGACCTCTCAATCTTCTTCGTGTCCATCCTCCACGCTTTGCCCTGAGCGGCCCTTGCAGCTCACCCTGGATCTATCCGCCCCGAAAGGCTCCGCTACCGTGGAAGTGGCAAGGATGGCCCTAACCTAAGGCAACCTAAGGGGGTGACCTTCTACAAATGGAGGGGCACAGCACCTCAAAACAGGCAAATGGTCACAGACCCCTTTTTGTTCAGACGAAACTTGAACGGAGGATGCGGGTGATGGCATCTGAGTACTGCGAAGCTTGCACTATGTATGTATGTATATATATATATATATGTATACACAGTTTGTTTTTGATATATATATATATAATGTGTATATATGTAATGTATTATATGCTATATATATATATACATTGTAAAAAATGTATGTATATATATATGATATATATATATATATTATGTATACATACACTATATTATATATATATATATATATACATTATATATACTATATATATATATACATATTATCATATAAATATTATATAATGTATCCATCTATGGATGGTTTATGCCAAGAAGTTGGTATTTCACCTTGCCATTTTTAAGGGATGATCGACGGCAAGTACCTCGCGCTCTTGGCGCTGTTTCTTGGTCTCGAAAGGGTTCGCCTGCCGCTGGCCAGGCCATGTGTTTGGTGTTTTTTTGGGAACAAAGAACCTATGGGAATTCCATATAAGGCCATATTTTGTGGGGATATTCCCTTACATAGGCCTAAAAAATAGGCTTTATATATGGTAGGTACCTCCAATTTAGGTACCTGAAATGGCCATTGAAAGAAACTATGGTCCGCTGATAGTTGTGAAACACCTGGCCATGGTTCGAAACCTGAATGTGCACTGTAGTTCACTGAAAAAAATCAGACGAATTTGAACTGGAAGTGCATGCTCTGCACAAAAATGTTGCGTGTGCAAGTTCCTCCTTGTCCACCTTTTACACCAACTTAGGATTGAAATCTTTAGTGTCCATACACTGGAGGCATTCACTTCACTGAATGTTTGAAACAGATGTCATCAGATTTCCATGTCCCAGTTCCGTGATGTTCTCACTTCACTTGCCTCGAACGAATCGAAGTTTGCCTTCCCAGCGCCAGGAACTATGAGGCCTCGGCTCTGGTATGCTACGGTTTCTTTCATATCTTTCACACAGTCAAATTGGGTAAATAGGCCATGGCTATCCATGGCTTGTGATCCTGTGTTTTTCTCATTACTCAAATTGTTTCATGGTAAAAACTGGACACCTCACAAGGTAGATCCGACTTGATCCAACAACTGGGTGTGGTCCCATATTCGATGATCGAATGATCAGAAGCAGCGAGTGTTCCAATTCGTACAACAAGTTTTTTAACATCTATTTCTGATTTGGGACCCTACATATGGGTGTGTCTGAAAATAGTGTATCCCTAAACCCAATGGTTTTGCTGATCATTATCCCTATTAAATGGCTATTTCATTGGGAATATACCCTATTTTCAGACAAACCCATATTTGTTTGATGTTGATTACTCCGCCATCTTTGGTATTTCTACAGGCCCCAGTGCCTTTATTGAACGGTCAGAAATTTTCTGTGACAATTCGGCAAACACCATCTCCACTGGCCATGGCTGGTTTTTGAGCCATCCCAAACTGGTCGGTTTAGGGCATTGGTTTTCCCATATTACAACAGATTAGTTATCCCATATGCTCCATGTATGGTATATTTACCTACAAAACTGGGTGATTTTGTTCGGGTAAATGTTGGTATATATGCCAACACCATGGAGCATATGGGTATAGTAGTAACATCTGGTTGCTGATATACCTAATGGTGGTGGTTTAATGGCATTTAATGGTGGTTTAATGGGATATTATGGTGGTGTAATAGGATCTAATGGGAATCTCAATGGATAAGTGGTTGGTGGTATACCTACCCCTCTGAAAAATGATGGAGTTCGTCACTTGGGATTATGAAATTCCCAATATATGGAAAAATAATCCATTCATGTTCCAAACCACCAACCAGTTGTAGTAGTAAGATGATTTAACATGTATTGACCTACCACCAAAAAGTCCAGAGATCTTCCGGACCCAAAATGTTCCGCTTTCTTCCTGCGGTTTCACCATCATAACCCGAGGTTCGGGTTCCAGACTGGAGAAGCCTCCGGAATGTCCCACACAGCAGACATCCTGTCCAAGTGGTGATCTTGGAGTTTTTGCCATGGAAAAAAACAAGTTGACATGGGAGAAAAGAAAAGTATAATGTCAACCCTGGATTAATAAACCCCAAACGGTTGGTTAATTGGGGGGGGTACCAACAAAAAGTATTGGATGACATGACTATTGGAGGAGTACCCCCCTAATTTTCATAAACCATGGTGGTCTTTTCCGCATGGCATTGAAGGACAATCTCAATTTTCTCGATGTCCATTGGCCCCGTTGGATTGGATTCTAGTCAGCCCAGTGAAGCCGGGGAAGCCACTGTCCCCAAGCCACTGTCATGTACGATGTCGGGAAAATGTTGGGGTGGAATTAATACCATTGGATCCGGTCTTGGTTTTGGTATGTTTTGGCTAGTTCACCAACCAGCCAAGGACAGCCAAAAAATGTGCGATCCAAGTTTAAGATCACACCTTGGCAAAAACCAGCCGAGAATTGAAGATATCACCGGCACAAGGACTTCCAGAGGCACAAAAATGATCAAAAATGCCTGGAGCCCAATCATCTGCTAGTTCAGAACGGTATGCTCAGTTACCCTCTGGTAAACTAACATAACTATGGAAAATCACAATTTTTAATGGGAAAATCCACTATAAATGGTCATTTTCAATAGCTACGTTAAATTACCAGAGGGTAAATCATCATGATTTTTGGTGATTTCCAACTTCCAGTGCTACTCATGGCAAAATATATGGCTTTTACTGCTGGAAGTACCGTGAAGTACCTCGTGAACTCGGTGGATACATAACCCTAAATAACCATAGTTCTATGGCTAATATATGGCTTAACTATGGTTGTATAAATATAATAGTGGTTGATTAACCATGATTAATGAATCATTAACCATCATTAAGCATCATTAACCATGCTTATTGTAGGGCTCATATCCCAACTTATGGTCCTTTCATTTCTCCAGGCTCGGAAAAAAACATCCATCAGGATCTCAGGGGAGTTTTGCCACACAGTGGAGGACCACATTATAATATAATCATTCTTACTTCAGCCATCCATGGTGGTTTTCGAACATGAAATCATCACTATATAACCATAGTTAGTTATGGTGGTTTCTAAAAAAAATAATCACTATAAATATCTATAAATATATAGAATGGTGATGAATGGTGGTTTTTCAAAAATGAAAGAATATATTATGATATAACCATCATTACTTCAGCCATCCATGGTGGTTTTCGAACATTATAATTAATCACTATATAATCATAATTAATAGTTCAGCCATTGTCCATGCAAATCCATGGGATCAACTAACTCACACCGAGGCAGCCGAGGCCTCGAAAGGCCGGAACCTCAAAGATTCGATCTGAAGACCTCTGTACCTGGCGAAAGACGTGCCGACGTGCTGCCTTGAGTCTCAACGTTCAGGCCGTGGAAAGGCATGATATAGCCACACAGGATGAAGTTTGGGCAGAATGTAGCTAGACACTCAAAAAAGACGTAAAGATAAGGTATGGCACTCAAAACAAATTGATGTGTTGGCATGTTTTTACCCACTTTTTCGGATGCATTTTGAGGGTCAAAGTATGTCAAGGTGCAAAATATATGGGCCAAGAATGTAGAACGATGAAAGACGATCCTTGGCCCATGGTTTCACCCGCAAAATTCACGCGTGAGATCAGGAAAGACCAAGTCAGGATTGGAAACAAATGTCATTTACAGCGTTTCCCAATGAACAATCATGAAAAAGTGCAAACAAAAACAGCTCATGGCACCAAGAACAGCTTGGCCGGCTTGGCATATGCACCTCTTGCTACTTGGTTTTCAGCCGTCGATGGAACCTTTTTCAACACGTTTCAACATGTTTCAACGCCCTTGGGGCACTGCTCCTTGATGTACGGCCTCAAAAAAAAGAGACGCATCGCAGCGGAACTTCGGTTCCCAGCTAAAATCATTCCATAGGATGGACAAATGGCCATAGAAATAGTTGGTTTTCCCAGCTACAAATGGTGATTTTCCATAGTTTTTTTGTATGTTTACCCTCTGGTAAACTAACATAGCTATTGAAAATAGTATAGCCCAGTCGAAATAGTTGATTTACCCAGCTACAACTGGTGGATCTTTCCAGTTCGTTATGTAAGTTCGTTTACCAGAAAAATCCATGGGCTTCGAATCTCAAACATGGCGGTGGCATGAAGTCAGCGGACGTCTCAGGGGACCTCGCATAGCCTAGTAACTTGGCCACGGACTATGGCCTCCGGCTCTGAACATCCGGTACTCCAAAATCGCACAGGCTGATCATCATGTTGATTATTAAAAATGTGTTCACACTATCCCTACCGTTTTTAGCGGGGGGATCTCCCCAAAATATAAGGAATTTGGAATTTAGAGGGGACCGAAAAATGTTTGATTACATTTAGGAAGGTTTTGCCTTCCCACATGTAAGTTACATTTTTGAAGGTGCCATTTCTCTGGACATCTTTTCCCCCCAAAAAAAAAACTGGGCTAAGGGGGTGGGGATTTCCTGGACTCCACTGGTCTGCTAAATTCGCCCCCTGTTTCTCGGCTCTGGATCCCTATACTGTAGTGGGTGCTAAAATATGTGAAAAAAAATAGGAAAAAAAAGGATATGATATACAAATCGGTGGAAATGGTTAACCTTATCACATCCAGTTGGGGCAGAGAAACAGATTTGAAACCATCATCAATCTATGTTTGATTGAGTCTATCTGCATTATCATGGCTCAAATCCAATGCTCACTCTCAAAGGGTGGCCTTGACTAGTCATCTTTCCAGTTAAAACTGGTTGTCATCGAAGCCCGCCATATCCCAGCGTTTTTCCAACCAGGTTTGCGAACTTGCTGGGTCTGGCGGTGCTGAAAACGTCTTTGAAGACCTGGTGTTTAGAACAGCCCGAAATTGGAAGAGAATGGTGTTTAGAACAACTAATATAATGCGGTTAAAAGAATAGTAAACGATCCCCCAGTCATCACCGTCTTGATAGGTGGTATGGTTACCATTCCCAGTCATGGGTGGTAAAAATGGCATTGTTTTACCAACATTACAACTCATATAATCCACATGATGGAAATCCAAGGATTTTCCGTATACTTTGCCTTTGGAATCACGATGGCAGAACCATGGCAGATGTAGCGCACAGAAGCTGGGGGTCCAATGAAAAATTACGAATTATAACTCTGGTAAAACCGATCCCATCAACCCAAATGGCCCAATATTTATGGTACACAGCCACCAGAACTGCAGGCGCCAGTGGATTTGGCTTTACCATATTGCGCCAGCTACCAGCGCAGGACTCCATGTGGGGATCAAAACCTATGCCGGAGGAACATCTGCAACTGCCAGCTATTTTGGTGCACAAAGTAATATATAATCTGGTTGGTGGTATACCTACGCCTCTGAAAAATATGAGTTCGTCAGTTGGGATGATGAAATTCCCAATATATGGAAAAATAAACCATTCATGTTCCAAACCACCAACCAGTAATATGTCATGGTGCAATTTTCTTTCAAAAAATCAGGGAAGTTGCACCTCCAAACCGGAAAAAACGATGGTGTCATGGGTGTCATGGGTGCCAAAAAAGAGAGACGTAACTTCACCACTCGATCGCCTTCTGACGTTGCAGCTTGGGCAACTCGATCATTGAATCACAGCAACTGATGTTTTTTATGTGTCAACTGGTACCCTCTGGTAAACGTTCACATAACGAACTGGACAGATCCACCATTTATAGCTGGTAAATCAACTATTTCTATGGCCCCCAGAGAATTTTTTTCGGGCACCGCACGTCCAGAAAGCCACCGCAACTCATGGCCACCATGCCGGTCATGGACCTGAGTGACTGAGTGGGTCCAAAATCTCCCATTCAATTCTGGGAAGAGCTGAACGATGACCTGTCTGAATCTGAATCTAATTATCATCTAGCTATCTATTCTGGTTGGTGGTTTCAACCAACCCCTCTCAAAAATGATGGAGTGAAAGTCAGTTGGGATGATTATTTATTCCCAATATATGGAAAGTCATAATCGATTCATGTTCCAAACCAACCAGTATTTGCCTTTCTATCTAATTTTGATGCACTGTGATGCGCTTATATCATCTTGTTCCACTTCGGTCTATCTGAAAGCAAAGAAGATTGAGACAGGATGCCTTACTTGTAGTTCAGAGTTCGCCTTTTTACATCACCATGGAAAATCATGGTAAATTTCTATGATCATTTGCCATCTTGCCATGGCCGCCATGGCCGCCATGCTTCGGGATAGGCGCCCTACACATCGATGCTGTTCACCGCATGGCCATATTTCCTGCAGGCTCCAGTCCGAAAGTTGCCGGAAAAGGTGAGATAATTTTCAGCTAAAAATTGGTGATTTGTAGATGAGGAGGGGGTGAACAAGCTTGAAATTTAAAGATCTTGAAAGGCACTGAATTTCACTGAATGGAACACTCGAGTCATAGAAAAGCTGTTGAAAAGCTGCAGTTCTACCATGGCCTCGCAGGGATGCTCGGGCTAAAAACGCCAAAAAAAACCATGGTTGATCATCAGATATCCATGAACCCCATAAAATCATATAAAATCTGCTGTCTGATGGGTAGATATCCCTTTTCTTCAGGCACGGCTATTCGCTTCGCCTGCCATAGCAGTGGAGCATGTTGTAGGTCCGGAGGTCCCACACCTCGGCGCCGGGGATGGGGGAGGACTTCACCTCTGCCGATGCCCTGCCCAGGCCTTCCATTTGGCTTCAGCTCCCGCCGTGACCTCAGGAGACACAGATCACATCGCAGGGTGAACAGCTGGGGTCAGGAGTCTTAAGGTCTTCCTGATCATCTAAAATCAAGATAAACCAAGGAAAAACAAAGGAAAAAACAAGGAAAGGCTAAAATAAGATCCTACTACTAGAGTTTGAAAGTGCATAAAGTTCCTCTTCTGAATCTCTTTGGGGGCACAGGCATTTCACATCGCTGCAGCAGTTCCCTGAGTCGCCCTGCCATGTAGTTCCCATGCACTGCCAAAGCTGTCACCTGACAGGCGCCGGTCGTGTCAACTCACTGATGTTGGTGGCTGACACTGAAAGGAATATCCATAACTTGAGAGGGGGAACACGAAAGGTAGGTAAGCAAGAAAGGAACCGAAGAAAAAATGAAGGGGAGAGGGGAGGGAAAAATACATAAAGTGGAGTCTGGTAAAAGCGACGCGGCCATTTTCTTTCCAAAAATATGAAGGGGAGTCTGGTAAAAGCGACTGAAAGGCTTCGGCGATGTGGTTGGGGTTGGTGGTGGTTGTGGTGTTGGTGGTGTTGGTGGTGCTGGTGGTGTTGGTGTTGTTGGTGTTGTTGGTATTGTTGTTGTTGGTGTTGTTGGTGGTGGTAGTGTTTCTGGTGTTGTTAGTGTTGTTAGTGTTGTTGGTGTGGTTGGGTTTGTTGGTGGTGTTGGTGTTGTTGGTCGTGTTGTTGGTGTTGGTATTGTTCGTGTTCGTGTTGTTGTTGTTGTTGTTGTTGTTGTTGTTGTTGTTGTTGTTGTTGTTGTTGTTGTTGTTGTTGTTGTTGTTGTTGTTGTCGTCGTTGTTGTTGTTGTCGTCGTTGCTGTTGCTGTTGGTGTTGTTGTTGTTGGTGTTGGTGTTACCCCTGCAGCGTTTTTGCTCGGTTCCGTAGTGGCCGAAAATCGTCAAATCGGTGGTGCTTTCGCGTGTTTTTGCAACTCTCGGAGCAAAAAACACCGTAAATACCGATGTTTTTGGCGGGTCGGAAGCCCAAAACCACGGTATTTACGATGTTTTTTGCCTCTGGTAGTAAAATGCACGGTATTTACAGTGTTTTTTGACCAGCACCTAGCAAAAACACTGGTATTTACGGAGGTTTCACCATGTAGCAAAATGTGGTTTCTTGATCCGAAAAGAACAAAAATACTGTAAATTACAATGTTTTGAGTCTGCTCTTAGGGTGCGTGGGAGGTGTGGAGGGGGGGGGGGTACTAAAATGACTAGCAATCTCCTGAAGAATCAGG